GCGGGAAGGTCCACGGATGGCCTGAAGGATCAACCGTTTATTAGATTTTAAATTAGTGTGTTAACTATTGGTTTAGTTTAAGCATACCATTAACTTCTAGTAGGGTCGGGGTAAAGCTATTTATCGTAAAATCAATATTCCTAGCCGCTTCTCCTTGTTTGTGATTTAGTTGAGGTTTATACTGGTAGATTACTCAAATTTATTGAATAAAAGTTCAAGTTACAGCGTATATAAAGAGAGTGGGTAGCTAAAGGGTAAAGAGAGCCGTAAAGAGAATTAGACATAGCCTAAACAGTTTAAACTGTAAATGTAGCAATAGCTTTATAGTTCATAAAGCTAGGAAATAAAATCGACTGCCGATAGAGAAGGTTCGGCAGCCTTATTAATATCTCAAATAATTCGTTTTTTACGCAGTCGAGTCTCGCTGCAGCTATATTAGATTGGCTTTACTTAGGAAAAACTGTGAACCTTTACAAAATGTCTACAACATGACAGCTTTATGCAATACATAATTTACCCTATGACATATACAAAATACTCTGTGTTTCCTTTTGTACTATCAACTCTTGTAAGCTGTAGAAACATAGCTTGTTAAATATTTTATTTCGAAAAGGAATATTTAAGGATTAAGGAAAATATTACTGCAAAATCCAAGAAGTATGTTAATTTCTAAAGCATTTGAGTGCGCAAGCAAACGTTAATAAAATGTTGTTTATTGTGCAATCACAATTTTCTTTTTTGTAGTTTACGTTTTTGAACGATTATTTATGTGTCAGTTGTTTTTCTAGGGATAATTACTTTTTTACGTTGGTTGGAATTTTAAATACATGGTCCTTATTGATGGATTCTTAATGTCATCCTAAGTGCATCCTAGCCTTAAATCCAATGCTTATAATTCACACATAAATACACGCGTTGTCGTGCCGGATCAAATTTAACTTCGGTTCGATCTCGGTTTCTCACACAACACACCTTTTCCCACACTTGAAAAAAACGAAACGATCTTTCACGGAAGAAAAAAAAAAACAAAAAAAAAAAAGCCATTAAAAAAGAGGAACAGCAAGACTACAGCAATAATTTTTTTGGGAAGTAATTTCTATTTTTTTATCATGATAAGGGTGATAAATAATATATTCCACCTGATAGTTAACCACCTGTGGGAGTGGTTGATTGGCAACCATTATACATCTCTATCCTCGATTAAGAATCAAAATGAAGTTCGGTGATCACCAGCATTATGATGGAATGTTTTGTAATCAGTTAAAAGGGACTCTGGGACCGAATCGCATCTTGTTACGAACCACGAAACACATTGTACGTGGTAGAGTCACGCTGCAGCTATATTATGGTTGTAGCACGAATGGGTCGGCTCGACCGGGGAAGGACATTAAAATAGCAGCTTAATACTGCTGTGTTTCGTGTGGTGAATGTAGAGATCCGGAGACCCTTTTTACTGGAAACCAGGCTATCTTAGTCCTCATAGGTGACAACGCATTTGCGTTTTGATCTTAATCAAGGATAAATGTAGATGTGTACGGGCCACAGCAACCACTTACCATCAGGTGAACTGTGTGCTCGTTTGTCACCCTTATTCTATAGAAAAACACATCATCCTTATCTTCAACTGACTTCAAGAAAAGGAGAAGGTGCTCAATTCAACTGTATTTTTTCTTTATGTAAAAATAATTCTTTTTCTAATAAATATATTTTGATGGTTCTTTTTTATTTGAAAGCTGGTGCTTCTCATGTGATGCCATGATGTGATTTGAGTTATCCTTAATAATGCGTATTGACTTCGACTACATTGATGACGTTCTCATTTTATATATATTGAAGTCGGTTGTACAAAATTTTTAATTTTTCCACTTGTGTTATAATTGCTTCCTGCCTGAAATAAGACATGATTCTATAATTTTTAAGCGTAGTTTTGTTTACCTTCAAATGGCCCACTAGATTTCATACTGATTCATCTCTACAAGCAATGTTTACTTGATTTGTAATTGTGTACCTCTAGTGAGTGAGTAGAGTTGACAACATTATTTCGGCCTCACTTTGGGACGAATGATCCTAAAGCTTAAAACACAGGCCTTTTTTAACTTGGGATAAAGAAAATTTGTTAGAAAGAGAAACAAAAACAGAAACAGAAACTTTTTTATTCAATATAGATTGTAAACAATACTTACTGAAAGTCACTTTTTTCATTTACTACTGGTTTGCAAAAAACACCTTTGTCCTGGGAAGAACCAGTAAGAAACGCAGCGGGATTTTTTTTTCAAATAATGGCTTGGTAGCGATCACTCTTTTCCACATTCCATCACATGCACATTACAAATATTTGTACAATTTAGGATCATTTGTTAAAATAAAATTTGAGCTAGAAATGCTAAAAAAGGTAGAAATTATGATAAAAACGTTAATTATCTCCGTCTTCGAAATCGGTCTTATTATTTTTTTATATATCTCACTAATGTTCATATTTAACCCAAATACGGCCACATTGGCTGTCGCGGCTTAAAATTCTTGCAAAAAAACGGGAAATCCCGTAAAATACGGGACGAAATATTACCCCTGATGACTAAGATTGAATGCCTCATAACTTGCAATTATACTAGCAGCTCTACAATACCATTTAGACGGGAACATAGCAGCGCAAGCGCTGCAATATGCCAACAGGAGTAGAGGGTGGTACCTACCAGAAGAACTTTTAGGCATAAATGAAGTCCAACCATAAGTGTGCTAAAGTGATAAATGAGTGGATCTTCAAATGTGAAAACATATTACTTACTTAGATTACAGCCACGTAATAGAAGAGACACCAAGATTAGGTTGTTTTCAACGTATTAAATGGGCTTAAACTTACTTCGTCTGTGCCATAAAATGGTACTATGTGCTTCCAAACACGTGCCACGAACTGCCGCCTTGATATTATTCGCGGTGTCGTTTCCAAAACATAGTTCATATTAGCATAGAATAAATAATAGTATAAGAACAGAAGGATTACTCTCTGATAGCAAACTTGCGAGTTTAAACCTAGTTACAATGCCGCTAAATTTTATATTCATAATACTTTGCACACCTCAGAACCGACCTTCGTGAAATTAGCCTACCAATTAAAGCGTCGAAAAAATAAGGTGCGCGTTTTAAAAAAAATGCACTTTACGAGTGTATGTATTAATTGTGCAACACTCATGGGCAAAAAAAAGTATCCTATCTCTCAAGTTGGGCCAAACTGCACACGGTGTGCAAATTTGGTTAAAAATCGGTTAAGTAGCTTAGGAGTCCATCGCGGACAAAGAACGTGACACGTAATTTATATATATATATATTGTATACGCCCTTAGTTGCCCCAACAAAGGTCGACTGGACCAGGGCCCACGAGTGGTCTCCTCGACGAACCAAGGCGCACTATAATAGATACGCAAACACAAAACTTACCGAATTCCAGAAGTGTAGGGTCTATCACAAGGTGGCGTCAGGGGCAAGTAAATGATAGTGGGTGTGTAGCGTAGGAAAGTGTATAGTGTAACCTGACGTCACCAATACAATCAGATAACAGCACCACGTGCGCCGACCACTCCACAAAACGCTCACCGCTATCGGACCCAAGTCCAGCGCCACTTAGCACGAACTGTAATCGCGCGCGATCTACACCGGGATCACAAAGTTCAGCGTTCTCCCGACAAATTAAAAGTCTTATCACGCTATCAAAGACGCACTAACAACTCGTCGATGCAATTAACGGCATAAAAGTTCCTTTAATCACCCTAAACTCAAATTAGGCCTCTTGTCACGTAACACGTAATTCAGCAAAATAGTAAATTCAAAATGGCGGGCACAATTAACTCAGATTTTAGGCCTTCAATCAAAACACAGGCCGCCCGCAGCCGTATACCAGTCACAAACAATACTTAAAACGGTTACAATAATAATTATATTATTCCGGCCTCGTTATCACGAAAAAAATTAAGACTGTAAGAGGCTCGCGACATATAATCGACCCGGGCGTCGCGCAAATAAACTCAAGAATAAGCCTCGTTATCACGTATATTAACGACAAAATGCAACTCCATAGAGGCCGTCTTTTCTACGCAAACTATTATGTAATTCCCGACCTCTAACAGGCACAACTGTAACCCTCCAAAGTTCCTGCCGACTGGGGCGCTTGCTGTGCGCGTACGGCGCTGCAAGCCCCCACCTCCCGTGCAACGCTAACCGTTTCCTCACTCCGCTCGAGACGCGCGTCCCGCAAGCCTCAACGACACAACTTGGCGTAACACACACACATATATATATATATATATATATATATATATATATATATATATATATAAATATATAAACCTACTTATACTTTATTACTTTTACGTGCTGTGTTATGCCTGTATAGTAGATATCATAACTAGTATATGCTGTTCTTGCATTAGTAGGCAGTCACTAGCACTGGGAGGTCTACTTACACTGAAAGATTTTTTAAAAGTCATTGACATTATACGCGAAGATCGAAAACTGTAAAGCTGTGGTCGGGTCGCTTATCAAATAATAAATCTGTAACTATGGAGCCAGTAACTGGGTACCTAATTGTCTATAGGTAGATACCTATAAATAATAATATCTTACCTTTCGATGTCCTTTGCTCCTTTGGAACAATAAAGAACGAAATGTCGACATTCCTATTGTTATTTAAGCACCCGTATCCTATGCAGTACCTTTTTGATTTTTTGTGGCCATTTTTGAATAAAAATCCAAAAATAAATATCAAGTGCCTAAATATAGATAAGAGAAAAATACTTTTTTGTCAACGTAAGGCGGGCGTTAGCTCAACCGTGTAAGTGACAACCTCACTGAATAATTAGGACCTTGTAGGCGGCCGGGCAGCGTAGCTATATTTTCATGTCTAAAGCGCGGAGTGAGACAGCTCACCACGATACCCATCATGGTGGGCTATTGAACTAATACCAGGTTACATAAACGCAATGCTAATCATGTGTTCAACAACTCACCTGATATTGTTGCACGGCTTGTCTCGCCAGTGAGGCAAGTGGTCTAGACCGTTCACCTTGTCCAAGTAGCCGAACCGCTCCATCTTCTCTCCTGAGTAAATCGTTGATACCTCGTCCAGGGTACCGTTCCTCTGCGAATGCGATGTGTATATAAATTATAAGCATATGACCGCATTGTCTAGCGGTTAGTGAACCTGATTGTCACAGGTCTTCGGTTTGAGTCCGGACCAGACTAAACATTTATGTTAAAACATAAAATTTTTGGTTTTGTTATCGTTATTTTTTAGTAAGGTACGTGAGGGTAGTGTGGTCACCTTAAGCTTTGTCTCCCTATAAAACCAAAACATGGAGGAAGACGGAGACAAAAACACAACGTCGTACGTACTATAATTAATATATTAGGAAAAAAAATATAGCAAACAAGCTTTGGCAATATTAGGGAACACTAAGAACAATCAACTTAAATAAAACTAACTACATTACACAATACTAAAATCGACTAAAATGATTACTATAATGTCAACTGTCAAAATGACGTCGATAAAGCAGCGCCCTTTTGATTCTTTATTATTTGATGTACTGATGAAGAGCTATCGTATCATAAAGCCATCTCTCCAAACAAGGCTGTAGTTTTTGAGTTATAAGAGTTATAAGTGACCATATTACCTTCACGTACTATATTTAGTAAAGATTCTAAGTATACCACTACACCTGCAATTCAGAACAGAAACAGTGTCACAGGTGTGGATCGCTCGGGCGCGGACGGATAGCTGGCACGGTAAATATGTACTGCAAGATGGCAGTTGTATTATCATTTACGACATTTACTATTTTAGGCGAATACGAACTAAAGTTGCATATTTAGGGAATAAACTCCAAATCACGTTGACAAAGCGCGCACATAAATAACAATAGCGTTTTCTTAATCTCATTAAGGTGCCACTCCTAGCGAACAATCTTGAGCGTTCGGTCCTATACATTCCACGGGCTCTCGCTACAATATATCGCGTCAGAAATACGCCCAAATTTTAAAAATTTTCTTTATAAAATCAAATTTTAGTCCTTTGAAAAAATGAAATAGATCAAAATGTTCATTAATGAATAGCCTATCCATTAGTGTCAATCGCAAAATAAAATTATGCTTACTTTATGAGGAGATGCATGTTATCAATAATTTAGCATTTCTGTATTTTAGTTGTAGGAAGATTTATCAAGTATTTACTCCTTTAAAAAAATTGGAATTGGCTAATATGGAATCAAGATTATGTAGAAATTTAATAGATATTTTATAAGTTGATATATCTTTTTAATAACAAGTAGATAGCTCCTAAAACCACACAAATAACGACATGCGCGGCATTTTGTTCAAACACGCACCTTAAGAGGATACCTTAAAAATGAATCGAAGTTTTGGGGGTGTGGCTTATTCCTTTGTCGGTGAAGCTAACGGACGACTGAGGGAGTGTCAAAATGAAAGTGATGCAATGACTTCATAGTACGCAAATTATGAGATAGCCATACCGAGCAAGCGCTCGGAAAAAAACTAAGTAAGCGCAAAACAACATTTTTATTTATTTTAACAAAACTTCGTCATGGATTAAAAAACTGGTTTATGAGAACTTAGGTATGCTTATTTACTATGCTTTAAAAATAATTTCATGAACTTATTCGTTAGAATATTGTGGTGTCATAGAGAAATGTAAATAATTAGAGCCCACTTTACAAATTTTTTTATCGAGAAAATTCCATGATATCGTGTTTTCCCTTTATGAAATTCAAGTTCATATAGGCAAAAATCATATACCAAAATTTTGATTTGTAATCTACAAAACTTAAAAAATATGTTAAATAGAAAAACCACCAAATTTTCGAGGTATCACCTTAAACAAAATCAGTGTTAGATTGTCGAAAACAAGTACAACATGTAGTCTTCTCCGCCGCCTGCAGTCGACTAAAGGAGTTGCGGAGAATTGACTGTAACTTACTGTACAATGTATTAAGTCCGTCTAGTAATATAAAGAGAAGTATTTGGTAATTAGTTTATGTAATAATTGTGTTGTAGTGTCTAAATGTACCCGAAACATTGTTCGTACCGAAACTGTCCCCAAAAAAAGTTTGTGTTATTGATGGGGTTTTAAATATCCCTAACTAATTTACTAGGGCCGATGCAGATGCATCATAAACGGAGCGTAGTAAACGTCTAAAGTCATAACTCATAACCATCTTTATTTCAACAAAAGCTTCAATCAAATGGTGTGACATTGCGCAGATGTAAATTAGCGAATTGATTAGATAGTAAAAGAAAAAAAATCAGATTTTTATTGTTTACAAACCTCGTCTGCGTTGAGCTACAAATATTGCTGAAAAAATTATGTAAATTGGCCTACGGGTAATGGAGGAGATATAATATATACAATCGTTTTCTTGCGCCATGGGAGCTACGCTCGCTTCGCTCCTCCGCTCCAAAAAAAGCTCACCTCTGACTCTGACTACCAATGTGAAATGCTTAACAGCCTGTTTTTATACTGGCTCTCTATATCCCTTAGACGGTAAACTCGACTGGTAAGTGGATGATGTGGGCCATTATCCGAATTAAAAATAAAATATATGTATATACTTTGTCACCCCTGAGGATTAAGATCGAGTGCCTCGTATTCAGTAAAAGGAGTCTCTACACACACCACACGAAACACAGCAGCATTAAGTTGCTACTTTACGTTGGTATTCTGTGAGAGCGTGGTCCTACACTGGGCGCATCGATTCATTCTACCATGTGTAAAGATATAGGTAATATATAGATAAATACCTTAACCTTAACATATATACATATATAAAACAATAATTTGAATTAACACTATTAAATGAACTTTCTTCTTTCTTCCCAAGATTAGAAATTGGAGCATTTCTCTTTGTTTTGTTTTGGAACCAGGAGTACGTTGGATTTGAAATACATAAAGTATTATTGTCTATTATTACCATAATGTATGGAGAATGGGTCCACCCTGTATTGTGACGTGTAGTGATGAAATACATATCGAGTTATACCTTATAAAATATAGATGCAATAGTAATATTATTTTACCATATTAACGGGGAATAGTTAAAAATAAACTAAAAGTCGGCATTACAATATATTCGGCATATAGTCGGCATTATATTATAAATAGTTAAATTAATAAAAATAGAATATATAAATAGTATTAATCAAAGTTGCACATTGGTATATCGGCATTTATAGGTACTTTAAGATCGATAAAAAATTCTTTAAGTAGTTGATGATATTAGATAAGATGCTTAGAGGGGTACCTGACTTACGACTACCCTATAACATCTAAGATGTTTCAGATGCAGGAAGGAATGCTTCAAAATCAATGCTACATGGAATCTTAGTTCCGACCCGAGAAAATCTGAGTCACATTTTTTGCCTACGTTTCATTAATATTAAATTTTATTTTTATCTAGAAATGATTTTTATGTGGCAATGAAGTGATGTTTTTTTTTTAAATTTATTTACGTGTATTGATCTCAAAGCAGAGCATTACAGAAAAGTGTAAAAAAGAGTCTTACTTACGGCAAGAAAAAGTCCCATCTGGCTGTTCGGTCGCTTACCCTTCGGGTAGAAATAGTGGGCCAAAGTAACCAGAGGGTCGTTGTAACTGTGAACAATTAAGTAACAGTAATTATGAGAGCGTAAAGTGGTATTCTAAGAATATCCACTACCACCATACCGTGTTAAGAGGCGGCAGAGGAGACAAGTCAGTGGAGGATCAGCAGCATATTCCTAATAACTAAAAATTAAAGAAAAAAGTCGTTGCCAAGCCAATTGTCAAGCCATAGACAACTATGGCAAATCTCTTCTATGAGGCAATATATGGGGCGACCTATGTTCAGCAGTTTACTTTTGACAGGATGTTACGGTAACATGTGCTCCAGATCAAAATTTGGTCACGGCACCCAGTCACAAGGGAGATAAGCCATCCGTGCAGGTGCATACCAGTGCAAGTACACAAGTGGGTGCGCAGGCAGTGCACTTCCTATTCCTTCACTCGTAATCCGATGGGATAGCAATACGAAAAGAGCGGAGAGAGATCAGGCGCAGGAGCAACAACTTTACGAGTTTTCCGAATGCTAAGAATTTCTTGACCGACAAGTCCAATAGGAGATTTTGATCTGACCGGGGATCCGAACCCATTATCTGTACACATATCTGTATTTTAGACGGTAATTTTGATTTTGACACAATTCTGGTTGGTTTATTAAAATTAATGATGTTGTTAAATTTTGTAAACAGTTACTTCAATTATTACTTTCCAAATTATCTTTTTTTTATATAATAAGTGTGACAAACAAACACACAGTCCACCTGATGGTAAGTGGATACTGTAGTCTATAATCTTCATCTATCCTCGGTTAATAGTCAAAATACAAATGCGTTGTTACGCCTTAGGGCTAAGATGGAATTATCTTAGCAACTATTTCACTCTGGTTTTCAGTGAGAGCGTGGACTCTCCCCGGTCGAGACGACCCATTAGTACTATAACCATTGGTTACTTGTAGCATGGCTCTATCACGTAATATCTTGTCGTCGATCGTCTAGATATATGCTTACTTACATATAGGATACGTGAACATATCCACGCTACATAGGATCAGCGTAGCAGTATTCTCTGCTTCATTAATCCCTTAAAACGAAAGGCCAGTAGTGGAATGTTAAAAGTTGTTACTTTTTATTCTTACCCAAAAACCAATTCTTCAGCAGTGATGTGGACAAAGGGTTTAGCCCTGTCTTTGTAAGTGAAGGCCAGTCCCGTGACGAGGAGGTTGAACACGAAGCCCGCCAGGTTTGGCGAGAATGATGTCACCGTCTGTTCATACAAAATATACATTCTTAAATTTTTATTTTATTTTAAATATTTGATTATACGTTTTTGTATTTTATTACTATCAACTAAAAGGCAACCGCTGAGCAAAGGCTTCCCTCTAGCCTTATAGATGACGCGCTTGGTGGGTGAGTTAGCAACTATAGTTTTTTAATACTGTTGACCCGCGGTAATCCGACAAATGTTTTGCAAGACCATAGAATACTATAATACACAATAGAATGGCTGTCAACCTTATTTTGTACGAGGATAGGCGTCGCCAGGAGCACAAATACAAGCAATAACTTCGTATTATCACTATTATAAACCCGATTCGCCGTATTGACAGACAGATTTTAATACATATTTATTTGTAAATAGCGTGCAATTTGGCATTTTATAAATAATTTGCATGGGAAATTTGGAAACGATTGTAACGTCAAAACATATCTCGGGTTGACATTTGTATGTGTGAATTGACATGTTAGTGACATTTTAGTGGCTACACGGGCTCCGCCCACTCCCCCTTTCTATAATGTATGTATTAAGGTATTCTATGTGTAAAACGGCGTCGGATTATCGAATTTGTCCGACCATAGAGTACTGCCACAGCCCCCTGGTACTCCGGAACTTTTTGAAAAAGAGTATCTTGTAATCCGACAGATTAAATATCAAATATAAAAAATAGAAAATAAAAATGTCATGTGATGCACAATGAATGCCTAAACAGTAGATAATGATCGCCCGCTAGGTCGTTATCATAGTCACATTTGAACTGAGACAATACGTCTACTTATTCGCGAACGACACCTCTCCCCATGGCGGATTCATAGTACGACTCGAATCTACCTACAAGTTAAGGACATATCGGATTACCGGGGGTCCGCTGTATTTCAATTGCAATCAGGAAGATGTTGCTGTTAAATTGTAGATTTCAATTCACTCCTTCTTTGTATCCATACAAAGTAGTGATAATTCAATAAAAATGATTCAATTTTATTCATAAAAGTATGCAATAATTTCACCAATGTTTTGTTATGACGTTGTCACGTTAAACTATCGTGCGTAAACCGACTTCATTTTTAAAGTACATATTTGAATGTATTTTGTCATAATTTGGTCATAAAAGCCGGATATTCTTAAGTCAGCTGTGGTTGAACTGTTCAAACATTCTACGCTTATATGAGAATTTAATACTTTGTTTATTCTTTCGAGTGCCTTATTGGTGCAGTGATCGTAATCAATTGCTGATCATGCGGTCCCGAGTTCGAATCCCGGTCGAGCCGAAATGGGTTATTGGATTTTCTGTCAAGAAATGATCAGTCGCAGTCCGGAGTCGGTCAGGACGTTGGTGGTGTTTTACCCACGTACCTCGGAAAGCACGTGGAGCCCGTTGATCCTGCGCCTGATTTATCTCCAGTCGTGTCGGCTTACCGTTCCATAGGACTATGAGAGTGAGAGAATAGAGAGTGCTTGCTACACTCGGAGGATTCTCGCAGATGGCTAATCTATGTAGAGACTGGCCACCGTGACCGGAATTTGGACTGGAGGACATTATTCTTTCGACTATGAAAAGCGAACGTTCGTATTTAATAATATAAATTATGGGCAACCATTACAAACGGCGTAATATTTTGTTTTTGTTTTTTTCATTCGGTACGGAAAAAGAATGTTCGTAATGAAATAAAATATAAATTATGAAAGGCATCCAAGGCTTAGCGTGAAGGTGGCATTACTTCCTTACAGCTTGCCAATGTATCCTGAGATTCTGAAAACTTCGAATTTTCGTAAGATGTCACTAGGCTCGCAGTAAATTAAGATATTTACATCATTACAACAAGGTAAACAAGATACAAGTATGACTGACCAGTAATGGAATGTTGGGCACGACAAGTTTCTGGGTCTTGTCGACCGACATCTCAGGCACGAAGCGCAAGATCTTGTTGTGCTGGAACGTCACCGTGTCGTTATCGTGGAACTTTATGTTCACTTTCTCCATGTCCTCTCTGAAAATAAATAGATTTTTGAACGCACAAAGAAATGTTTTTTACGTGATACACGCTTAGCCTAAAATATAGATTTAGATAGATTTTTTTTAGGTTGTAGAGCTACGCTGCAGCTATAATATGGATATAGCACGAATGAGTATGCTCGATTGGGGAAGAACCACGTTCTCACAGAATACCAGAATAAAATATAATATCGTAAGTGTAGAGAAAAGAAGACCCTTTTTACTCAAAATAAGGCGTTCTACTTTAGTGCTCAGTGATGACAACGCATCTGCGTTTTGATTCTTAATCGCTATAGATGCAGATGTATATGATTGACCACAACATACACTTACTATCACATGGACTGTGTGCTCGTTTATTACCCTCATACTATGAAGAAAAATTTAATTTTCTTTCTCTTTCTTTATTTTTCTTTATTTTTATTCTTCTTCTTAAGGATTTTTGTATGTGCCTTTGGCACTAGGGTCGTATAAAGTACTAGCAGTCGTTACAACCGTTTCGGTAGCTGGTGCAATGAGTTTCACTCCGGATTCACTCACTTTTCACAGTGTCAATATAAAATTTATTAACATTGACTTATATATTACTAGCGTAAGGACCGGGCCGACCGAACAACTAAAACGGATCAGTGCGCTGGCCCTAAAATAACAGTTTAGGGCCAACGAGAAACGGTCGACAGTGGTGCGCGCGCAGGACAGATTTGCATGTCATACGAGTAAATATGTCTAGTTGCGTGGTAAAAAGATGCAAAAATTACGATACAAAAATTAAAAAGGAACATGGGATATCGTATCATCGGTTAATAACTTTATATTAATTTAGTTTCAAATAAATTATTATATAATAGCATTTTTAAAGTTTTATTTTATAGTTAGTTTAGTTACGTTACCAAGATTAGGCCAGGGTTGGATTCAGACCCTCAAAAATATTGTACATGGAAAATAAAATTATCCTATTTTAAAAAAAGTATATCACGTTTGATGTTTCATGTTCCTTTCTTCCATGTGCCGGGATTTTGGCTTCACGCGTCTAGTTTATCTATACGTTACGTTTTTTGATGGTTTTATTTTTATTTCTGTTTTATTTTTGTATAAAGAACTTAGTGTAAGTTAAATTTTGAATATTGGTACCTAATATATTTTATATTCAAAAAGAGTAAAACGAAAAGAGTACAAAAGAAACCTTATCTGCTTAATTGAATCTGAAAATCTGATTCATAAAATATTTTGAAATACTGTTTTCAAATCCCTCATTATTGTTGTATCAAGGATGCAACATAAATGCATCGATCGAGCACCGATTGACAGAAAGGGAGATAATTCTAATTTATTAAAAAAACGCGGTAAATTCTCGATATCGTAGGGTTAATATTAAAAAGTTAAAGGACCCAATAATAATACAAGTCGACCTTTATGTAAAATTATGGTATTCTCGCTTAGTATTATTACGATACTGTATACAGCAAACTATGAAATGATGGTCCAATTAGGATAATTATACTACAAAATCCGACCCTGGTTACGTCGTGTTATGATATGACGTTTGTATTATTACAGATGCGCTACTTTATCTTGTATGAAAAAGTTATGAGTAAAATATTTAGATGAGCCTATCCTTCCTTTTGAAACCGTTGTTTATTAATTATTAATGGTTCGACCACAATACTATTTATCTGATTCAGATTTTGTGATGTTTTTTCTTGACATTGAATCAAAATAATTGTGAATGGTATGTCGTTTTGGTTCATAAATGTTAGCAAATTTTAAAGTGATTAATTTAAGTATTAAATATATTTAACACTTCCTAATGTACTTTCGACACTAAGATTTACTGAATGGGAAGGAACTGACTCCAAAAATACAGGGTATCCTAGTTTGGGACTCAGAAATCAATGATGAAATAGAAGTGTCAAATAAAGATAGTTTTTTATTATATTGTGGGGTATTTACAGAGTATTTTCTTAAACATAAATACGTAAATAAAAATACTACATAAATAAATAAACACCATACCAAGTGGAGGAGGTGACCAAATGGCCGAGGGTTAGGGAGAAAGGCAGAAAGGGAAAAGAACTTGCGGACAATGAGGGCGGTATCGTGGAGCAACGCCTTCTGAATTTGAGCCCGGAGCGGGGTGCCAGTTGTCTTAGATGACTTATTACTATGTTTTTTATTAAACCCACTACAGTGCCACCAATCTGATCTTAGCATGGCATTGTTGTGATATAACTTGCATTGGAGGAGTCGTTCAGAAATTCCACGATCATTAAAAGAAAGTGCGGATATCAGTGGTAGGGTCACGCTGCAACTATATTTTGGTTGTAGCATGAAAGGGTCGTCTCGACCGGAGTAGATCATGCTCTCACAGGATAACAGCGTAAAATAGCAGATTAAAGCTGCTGTGTTTCGCATGGCGAGTGTAGAGACGGGAGACCCTTTTCACTGGAAACGAGGCATTCCATCTTAGTTTTCACGTGTGCATTCTGATTCGTAGTCGAGGATAGACGTAGATGTCTATGGGCCACAGCAACTACTTACCATCAAGTGGACTATGTGCTCGTCTGATATCCTTATTCTATTAAAAAAACAACAGTTTTTTTCCATTCTTTTTTTAAATTAAAACGCAGATACGTCGTGACCCTCGAAGACTTAGATAGAATGCCTCGTTAACAGTAAAATGAGTCTTCTAGTCGTTTTTCATTGGACGAAATACAGCAGCTTTATACTGCTGGCTCAGTGGTGGTATTCTGTCGTAGCTTGATCCTTATGTGGTAGTCTTTTTTGGGTAGATATACGAGTATACATATTTGTTACAAGAGTGCGTGTCATATATATATATGTGTTATTGATTTGCATTTTTGAATCATTTTTATGGAGAACAGAGATTACAAATTAGTAATATATTATAACAGAATACTGGCACAAAATGGGCTTCCTCAGACTTTTTTAGTTTGTATATATCTATAAGGTTAATAGACCGGGAGCTGGTGACGGGTGACGTTCCACGATTTTGTCGTGCATGCCTTTTTAAGGCTTGATAACTAACCCTAAAATATCAAAGATTGTCGGGGCTTTAGCCCCCCCCCCGTGCGTCCTCTTCATAAGGAAAAGCACTTTTCTTTGTGTAGCGACTTTTCGTGTTTTTCCGTGATAGTATACTGCATGCCATTGTAATATACGGAAGTTCAAGCAAATTGAAGCTCTAATAATTGGTGGCATGCACCCCGCAGCGGCCCAAGATGATCAAAGGGTTTTGAAAACCTGAAAAAAATTAAAGGGCAATTCCGAGTTTTTGAATTGCATACCGATGTAAAGAATGGAAGTTTTTGTAATAAAAACACTCTGGAAAAATTGGCATGCACCCCTCGTATGACCATGGCATGCAGTTTGGAATCACGGAAAATCGGAGTTCAATTTTTACAGAGTTTTCCGGAAATTTTCCACCGTTGGGCATACGTGGGTGCATGCCAATTTTTCCAGTGTTTTTATTACAAAAACTTCCATTCTTTACATCGGCATGCAATTTGAAAACACGGAATTGCCCTTTAATTTTTTTCAGGTTTTCAGAACCCTTTGATCATCTTGGGCCGCTGCGGGGTGCATGCCATCAACTATTAGAGCTTCAATTTGCTTGAACTTCCGTATATTACAATGACATGCAGTATACTATCACGGAAAGACACGAAAATTCGCTACACAAAGAAAAGCGCTCTTCCTTATGAAGAGGACGCGCGGGGGGCTAAAGCCCCGACAATCTTTGATATTTTAGGGTTAGTTATCAAGCCTTAAAAAGGCATGTACGACAAAATCGTGGACGTCACCTGTCACCAGCTCCCGGTCTATAAATAGTAACTGTTAGGTGAAAAATTGTATACTTTTGAGTTAGTTATGGCGTAGGTTTTCACTTTCAAAAAGTTCTTTGTAAAAGCCTTTTTTGAATGAAAATATTTGAATTTGACTCTGACTTTGTACCGATCCTTTCATGCTACAACCACAATTATGCTATAGCGTGGCTTTTCCACGCTTATAAAGTGAATTGTGGTAGGTCAGGATGAGTAAATGCATCTGTATTTATGTGTTCTAGTAGCACTTTAATCTGTTTTACTTTCGCTTTATATATTGCCAGAATTGCTTTTTGTGCCGCATAAGTATTGCCGTCTTAAGTCACTTAAACGACATTTCTCGACATATTTAAAAAATCCAAAAAGAGATCACAATACGAAATACGTATTAGGCAAGTTCAGGCACTAGTTTTCTAATATTACGAGACTGAAGTTGGCCCCCGAAGCGTACGTTTACATGGTACAGTCGCGCGTAGAAGTAATACCATGTATTTAATATTATTTAGTAATACTATAGTAATCTATATATAGTAATAATATTATTACACTACAATTTAACATATTTTTTTAATTTTGTTAAATGCGCTAGAAATATTTTTAGATGCTGTGGCCCATAGACAATTTGGCTTATCCTTGATTAAGAATCAAAGCCCTTGTCACCCTTGAGGATTAAGATGGAATGCCCCGCTTCCAATAAAAAGGGTGTCCGGTTCTGTACACTCACCATACAAAACACAGCAACACTAAGCTGCTATTTTACGTTGGTGTTTTATGAGAGCGTGGTTCTACCCCAGTTGAACCAACTTATTCGTATTTGCAACCATAACATAGCTGCAGTATATATACTCTACCATTTATTTATTTATTTAACAATTTATGTACTCACGAAGTATTTTACAATGAAAAATAAAAAGAAATTTTGTACAAAGGCACTGCTTATTTCATAGTGAAATTTCTTCCAGCAGGCCTGATACTGGACAGATTCAAAGAGAAACAGATTTAGTGTGCACCCTCATAATAAATTTTATAATATTAATAAACTTAATATAAAATAAAGATAATAAAAACATTTACATACATCCATACATACAAACATGCATATACCTATATATATATATATATATATATATATATATATATATATATAAAATAA